GGCAGAGGTCTTCTTGTCCTTTGCCTATAGTCTGCGTATGATCTCAGACATGAACTGGTCCTCGCGATAGGCTTCCACCAAAGAGCGAGTCACATCGTTCGTGAGATCGAACTCAGTAATTAGCGCACTTGAGAAATCAGGTCTACGCGACAAGGCATCTGCAACCTTGTTGTACTCTCCTTTCAGATACTGGGGGTCGAAGTCATACTGCTCAATGACTTCGATCCAACGCTTCAGGGCGTCTAAAAGTACGGGCTGGGTTCTCATCCATCTCAGAGTCTGATGATCAGTCCTGAGGATGAAGAATCTCCCAAGGAGATAGTGTCTCCAATGGGTCAGAGCCTTGTACACAGCGTAAAGTTCCTTCTCGTAGGTGGACTTTGACAACTTTTGAGACAGCATCTTTTTCGACATGTACTCGACTGGCCTCAACTTTGGCCCCTCCCGTTGTGCGAGCACGGCGCCAATGCCATATTGGCTGGCATCCGTGGTGACTATAAATGGTTTATCAGAATCAGGCAGTTTCAAGACCTCGTACTGCGTCAACGCATGCTTCAGATGTCTGAAAGCAGCTTCGCACTCGTCTGTCCACTCCCATGGGGTGTTAAGGCGCGTCAGATCAGTCAAAGGAGCGGCCACTATACTATAGTTCTTAATGAAGGTCTTATAGTAGCCTGTCATTCCTAAGAAAGATCTCATCTCAGTCACAAACTGAGGACGTGGCCAATCACAAATGCTGGCTACCTTCGCGTCATCGGGCTTCAACCCTTCCGCGGAGATCTCATGACCCAAGTACAAGACACGGATGCGGCCAAACTCGCACTTCTCACCGTTGATCTTGAACTTGTGCTGTCGCAGGAGACTGAGGACTTTGTCCAAGTGTGCAACATGCTCCTCGACAATCTTACTAAAAATAAGTATGTCATCGAGGTACACGATGACAAACTTATCCAAGTAGTCATGGAATATCCGGTTCATAGCGTGCTGAAAGGTGCCAGGAGCATTGCAAAGGCCGAAAGGCATCACCACAAACTCGTACAGACCGTACCTGGTCTGAAAGGCGGTTTTGTGTTGATCCTCGGGCCAGATTGCAATCTGATGGTACCCGGACTTCAAATCTATCTTGCTGAAGTACCGGCACCCTTGCACTCTATCTAGCAGATCGTCGATGCGCGGTAGGGGCTCTCTGTTCATAACAGTGATGGCATTGAGGCCCCTATAGTCAATGCACATCCTAAGTGTACCCTCCTCCTTCCTAGGTACGAATAGTACTGGAGATCCATAAGGAGAGACACTCGGCCGGATCCACCCCTTCTCTACGAGTTCCTTGAGTTGGCGACGTAGCTCATCAAGCTCGCCTGGAGACGTCCGATAGATCCTACCCTTCGGAATACTAGACCCTGGGATAATCTCTATCGCGTGGACAACCTCCTTCTCAACAACCCCTGTCGGCTCTTCAAATAGATTAGGGTATTTGGCAACTACTCCCTCTATCTTCGGCGGCATTTTCACCGGCTCGCCTGCAGTAGAGACATAAACTAGATACATACCCTCCTCCTGGTTTTGCTTATAGTAATTGTAGAATGCGGCCGCACACATGCACCCATAGGACTCAATCAGACTACTAGCCTTAAACTTATGTAATCTGGCGGTCCCTCCACCTGGTAAAGTGTGTTTGACCACTTTTCGGTCCCAGTCAAACTGAGGCTGTGCAACCGAGTACATACCTAACAAGATATCCATGGGGAGATCGTCGCTCACCAGGAATGAGACACGATGCCTCAATTCCCCTCCCGCGTACGGGAACAGACACTCAACGTCCTGGAGGTAGTCATTAACTACCATGCGCTGTTTGTTGGCACAGGTCGACTCAGGCGCTGCACTCGCCCCTATAAGCACAACCTCTCAACGCACGCGCGACTAATAAAGTTCCTTGTCGAGCAAGTGTCATAATAGCCCCCGGTCTTGCGACCGCCTACGACTATCTCGCTGACGAACATCTTACCCTTAGGAGCTTTAGCCAGTGCCGTCCAAGAAGCTAACGGGTCTGATCTAGACCACTCCTCCTCTAGCTCCTCTAAGGATTCAAACACATTCATCGAACAGAGGGTTGATGGGTCTGAATGTGTTTGCGGGACGACTGGGGAGTCGGTAGCTTGGGCCATATCGCGAGATGGCGAGGGTGTCTCCACCACCTCGACCCTAGTAGGAACAACTACTATTCCTACTGGCCTGACGTGTTTCCCGGAGCAGTGCCTGACAAACTGGCAACATTGCTACCTACGGAAGCGGAGGATCCTACCGCCTGCCCCATAGTAGGCGGGATCTTCTCGGTGACCTTCTTATTCCTACATTTGAACTGGTTATGGCCGTATTGGCCACAACGGATGCAGGCTTGTCGGTTCCACCGATCTCTCCAAACGTCCTCTGAAAGACCCGCTTTCTCCCATGGAGGAGCATTGGGGTCGACTTGACTCCTAGACCGGGAGCCCCCTTGGCGTCTACCGGTCCCCTTACCTTTTTGTTGGGTTACGGCGGCGACTACTCCACCCTCTGAAGTTTCGCCACCTGCCTCTGCACCTACTCCTARCTGGGGGTCATCGTCCAACTCAATGGTTGACCCATCATTGTCGACAAACATAATGCGACCCTTGGCTTTCCAGTTAGGAGGCAGGGTCTTCTTTCTCCCGTCCGTCGCTGGGTTATGTCCATGCCCTATCTTAGCTTCAAGGTCTAGGGCCTTCTTGTTAAACGAGGGAAAGTTGTGCATGTTGATATTAGCCTCAACTGCCAACTGATTCCTGATTGGCATCGGGAGACACCTCAGGTAAGTTGTCAGTAAGACTTGGGGGTCATAGCGAACCCCAGGGACACAAATCAGACGCTCTACTGTGTCTGTGGCTTCCCTAACTGACTTGAACGATCGAGCGCTCAAAGTCAGGATCGCGTCAGTGGCCTTTTGAGCCTCCTGAGGATCATGCCACCTTTCCTCCACTAACTTGAGAAAATCAACCAGCTTTTGGCTGGCTGCCCAAGCGCGGAAGTCATGACCATATCCCTGCAGCTGTACCAGACCGCTCAACCATCTTGCTGCACTACCCTCCAGGTAGGAGGCAGCCACAAGCACTTCCTCATGCGGCAAGGTAAGCTTAACCGACACAGACCTCAACCACGTGTCAAGGTCTTCGCCTCGCTTGTCGCCTGTAAAAGGCTTAGGCGCGGCTATGGCGGTCTTTGGAACCCATTGCGGTTGTCCCTGCAGCTGTCCAGGCTGTGGACTCTGGGGAACAACTTGCTGTACCTGTTGCTTTTGGGGCTGAGACCCCTGCGGCTGAACAGGCTGTAAGACAATTGGTTGCCCACTAATAGCAACCTGCGACGGAGTCTGGGTGACCACTGACTGTACTGGAACCTGTACACTAGGACCTGCTGACAACCCTCCTGTAAGCGGCATGCCCAGGGAAACGATAGCGACCGTTGACGGGGCTACATATGGGGATACCCCTGTCATCGGTGGGACAGAAAGAGGAGGATATGCCACGGGCTAGGCACCAGGCCCTGGCGGTGATGGTACCGCCTGAGAACGTCCTGCCAGAATCGCTAGGCTCTGTTGGATGTCCTGAAGGATGGTAGTCTGATGCTCCTGCATCTCTATTACTCCTAGCAGGGCTTTCCTAACTACCCTCAAATCAGCATTCATGTTCGTCAGGTCCATCATTTCTAACTCCTCTATGTCTGCTCCTCTTCGCTGCATCCTGGCTCTTCTTCGGATCATCCTTTCCTTCTCCGCTTTTATCTCTCCTAATGCCCGCTGTAGCTGTGCCTCTTGCAGGGCTGCCTGCTGGATGGCGACATCCTCTGGAGTCAACACTAATGCCTGGCTTGCCATTACGCCAGTGGACTGACCCACGGTCTGCGCGACCGTTGACCCGACGACACCTGAACTGCTGGCCTGGGAAGTCTGCTGTGCAGAGGTTACCATAGCGGAAGTGGCCATGGCTGCTGTAGCAGTGGCCTCGCTAGCTAAAGCCCTGCTGGCCTCTAGCTCTCCTCTGCTGCGGCTGCCTCTCCCTAAGCTGGCGGAACAGAATCCTATCACCCTCCGGTCCTAGGGACACGTGGGCTATCGGGCGCCTAGTTGATCGCAAGATCCGGTCGTCCTCTCCAGTGTCCTCCTCGTCGCTCATATGTTACAACCCTGTGCACAATCTGCACTAATGCACTCTAGGTGCCTACCGCAGCGTAGTGCACAGACCAATTAACTGGTGGCTATTTCAGAGCAGATACATTCGGGTTCTAACAGATAAGTGCAGATTCCTACAATGACACTATTTTTAGTTTGACTAGTCCGCAAACAGATGCAGCATAAACAAGAAACTGTTCTAACTAATGCTGTCTGTCAGATGTCAATGGCAGTCCATCTAAGTAATCAAAATAAAAATAATATCATTTGACTGGGTCTGTTCACAGCATGGGATCTAACACGAACTGATCACCTGGAATCTACCCTGTTCCCCAATCCCCACTTGATTGTCACTTTATGTCAGAGTTCCTGAGCAATCCGGTAGCATGCGTGACTTAAGGTGTGCACACGGCCCACCCCTGTGCCCCGAGTAGTTGTTGAGCTGGCCAGCCTTGCACGTATATTTACCCTCGGCGTGCCGCGAGCCTTACATCACTGGCTGATCAAGAGGCATTTTAACGTCCGCCCCCAAGTGACATGAGAAATTATTTTACGTCGCAGCAGGACGACGATCACAGCCAGTGATATCCCCTACCCGTGTTTATTTATAGACGCCGGGTTCTCGTCTCTCCTATAGGGCTGGCCTGCCCAACAATACCCATCTATGAGCGCAGCAAGCAGACAAGGACTAAGCAGCAAAGCATGCGTGCTCTACTCCCGGTGGGTTGGCATGGTGACCGTGACCTAGTGCTTCGTCCAGGGCCCTTCAGAAAGCAACGCCCTCTCCTTCCAGATGCTCCACAGGAAGTATGCCGACTCTCAAGATTGAGCGCACACGACACCTCACATGAGAGAACTCTCAAGATGGGACACACAACCTCACGGTAAGAAGTGTTGAAGAGGGTAGATAAGGTTAAGAGCAACGTACCTCAATATAGCTGCCCCCAACCACAGATATTCTCACACGATGACCTGATGATGATTGCGATGACCAGTCACTGCATCGGCACAACCAGCATTATCTCGCCGTTCCACCTCAGCATCAATCAATCACCAGATAGTTCTCATCACACTGTAAACACCCAATATACACACCACGTAGCCTTCCAGGCGATACCCCTCACCTCCTGGGTCGCCTACCACTCGTCTCCACCCTCGTCACTACCCACCCATTACAGCCAAACTCTCCCAGTAGACCGCATGTATGTACCGAATAAGGCAGAAGAAAAGCGCCAGATGAGCGCAATCGAACCGCAGCTCCGATACCAAATTGCAAGGAAGATGAGCAATAGTGAACTTCAACAATCAAACAGCATCATACATATGAGTCCAGATAGTCTTGACCTCGAACCAACAGCAGAATTGCAACACGAGATTCACCAAATAAGAACACCCCAAGAGTTCATAATTGACAATGCTGAATGAGTCCCATCATCATCAACGAAAAACCAGAGTTGATATCCTATCTGGCGCTCGGCGCCCAGACTAAATGTGACAGATCCTATCTAGCCTATACTACAAAGCCGAAGGATGACATCAACAGCATTCCCGAAGTACGAGCATATGGCGACCAATGTCGCACGCTTCCAGCACCAGGTATGCCTCGCGCTACACTCACAACCTCGTTCCCCAACTCACAGATGCCACTAGCACCCAAGGACCACCCTGCGCCTCACCCAGCTTACAGCAGCGCAGCTCGGCTATGGCTGCGTGCTCCTTCCCTGCTTGCCCGTGAGAGCGTAGGCGCCAGCCAGCAAATAGCGCAGCAGTGCTTGCGCAGCATGCAGCCAGCACCCCAATGCCGAATGAGGAGGCAGGCCCTCTGCTTTATCGAAGTGGCCTGCCTGCATCCAGTCCCAGGAAGCTTCCAGTAGGCCCCGGTAGCCTGAGGCCCAGTACACACAAGAACAGGCCCAGGGCCTGAGGTGGTTGCATGTGCCCAACTGCCTGTGGCCTGTGTTCGGCCCRRTACCCGTATTCAGCCCAGGGCCTGCTTTTCATTCATTCACACAGGCGGCCCAGGGCCTGAGTTTCTTCAACCAACTGGCGCTGCGCAACTGCCTGAATTTCCTTGGTTGCGCAGTAGCCGAAAAAGGGCCCTGAGGGCCTCGTCGAGCCTGCCTTCACTTAGGGCGGCCGACTGGCTCCAAAATAGGGGCTGAACGGGGCTCATAGAGGCATAGCCTCGCATCCCAATGGATGAGTACCATGGGCACCTCCTGAGGCATGGCCTCCACCCTCTACTACACCGTGTGGGCTTAAAAAAAAAAAAAAAAAAAAAAAAGGTGCAATAGAATCAATATTCAATAAACATTTTGACGTTGATTTTTTGTCAAATATTTCAACGCATTTGCCTGCCATCGCTGGTCTGTCAGTGTTTGACGTTCGCGTCCAAAAATCGCTCTGTCGGAACTGTTCTTGTTGGAAATGGATAAGGGGATTTTTTTTTTTTATATTATAAATCAGCAAAAATTGAAGGGGGCCAAAAAAAAAAGGAAGGGAAAACTGCTTTCAAAAGTCAAAAACTTCTCGGCTTTCGAACTGACGTCGGAGTCCGTTGGGGACTTTTTTGTTGCTGTCAACTTGTCAATGATTTGGCTGTTCTGTGGGTGGCAGGCTGCTCGCCACGAGTACCTGCAACTAAGAGAGGAGCAGGCGTTCAAGCTTTGTCTGAAGCATTTGCGGCAGTGTAATTATGATGCCTTTGCCGCATTGCAGGTATATCCATTCCTTTTTTTTTTTTTCCGGTCGTCTGGTTGTATAGGGATTCGATCATAGGTCTGTATTACTATTTCTATTTCAACACAGTGTTGGTATACCAATTGAAATAGGCCCATTCTGTTTTCCATAGCCAATGTGAATGTATATATCGTCACACAGAACTGCGTGGTAAACCGTAGACAGAGAGGGAGAAGAGGGGAACAAACGAGGGGCCGTGACAGAGTGTTTCGTTGGAGTTACACCGACTCATATTTATGCTTGTTGTGCAAGTGTTCTGTCTTACCCTTTCATACTATTCTATGTGGTCCGTTTGGCGGTCTATCCTTTCTTCTTGTGGTTTGTTCTATTGCCTGGTCGATTCCCTTACCTTCATTGCAGGTACGCACCGACAATCTGCACTTCTTGTGTGTACTTCGCTGTTTTGCCCTTGCATATTTGCCTATACGGTTTGTTCGGTGGCCTATTCTTTTTTCTCGCGGTTCATTCAGCGGTCTATTCGCTGTTTTGCCCTTGCACGTTTCACTATATGATCTGTTCAGTGGTCTATTCTTTGTCCTTGTGGTTTATTGAACTTTATTCCATGGCCTGGTCTATTGCCTTGCCGTGATGGCAGGTGTTGATCTGTGCTTCGCTCGTTAATTTGCTGTTTTGCCCTTTGCACGTCTCCCGGTACGGTTTGTCCGGTGCCCTATTCTTTGTTCCTGCAGTGCACTCTATGGTCTATGCTACGGTCTTGTGGTCTCTTCTTACAGTCCGCTGCTGTCTATTCTCTGGTCTATTGAATGCTGTCTATTCTCTAGTCTATCCTCTTGCCTGCATTGCAGGTATTCATAATCCCATACTATTGCCTTGCCTGTGTGTGCAGGCATTCATTCACACTATTTCATAGCGAATCCTTTGCCGTCGTGCCCTTTGTATTGAGTACTATTGACTATATAGTGTATGGCAGAATATAGTGTGTTGTGTGATCTATCGAGTCTAGACCATGGAATAGACCGTGGAATAGACAACGTGGAATAGACGACGTGGAATAGACGATGAATAGACCGTGGAATAGACGATGGAATAGACCGTGGAATAGACGATGGAATAGAGCGTGGAATAGACGATGGAATAGACCGTGGAACAGTCAATGGAATAGACAATGGGATGGACCATTGAATAGAGAGCATGGAATAGACCATGGAATAGACCATGGAATAGACTAGATGATGCAATAGACTGTGGAATACACCATGGAATAGACTTATGCAATAGGCCATGGAATGGACAACCGCAAGACCAAAGAACAGACCACCAAATATACCGCATATGGCGTCTAGTAAACATGCAAGGGCATGGCAGCAATGAGCACCAGTGTAGATTGGCTATGGAATAGCTGGAATGCAGGCAATGGAATATACCAGAGCATAGACCACTAGAGCACGGAATAGAACAAAA